ACACACACACACACACACACACACACACACACACACACACACACACACACTATCCCTCCGACTTCGATTAATGAACTTTAATTGAACCAACGGCTGTCATTCAGTCATCCTTAACGGTTAACAATCTTAAGCTCTGCACGGTAGACGGAAAGCTTAGTTACATCTTGGGTTGTGAAGTGATGTATAAAAAAGAGGAATCCAATGGCAAATAGCTTATTTGCTACAGAACTCGCGAATGTGTTGACAACTAATGTGGTTCCAAAACAGACAGAGAGAGAGATAAAAAGTAATCCGTTGGTTTAACTTAAATATCACATCGTCGAACGGTTCTTTTGCTTCATACCAACCTTGAGATGCAGAGAGATACACCCCGATTGTTCCCATGGATTCACATAGCGCACACTGTTTAGACGTCTGTTTCACATGGATAAATGAATGCGGACGACCGATGGAAAATAAAAGTATTTGAGGATATAAACCGCTCTTCATCTAAGACTAATCGGTGAGAAGCATTGACGTGAGCAATCTGCGCGTGAATTTGCGTAAGACAATAGCTTGTTCATGAATAAATAGTAGGGAAATCCTGTTTCCCCGGCCGTCGTCAGATATTATGTAGCTTTGGGGACACAGGGAAAAACTGCTTTGCGCAAACATGTACTCAGGTTATTAAACTTGCCAGGAGGAACAAATGAAAACATCAGAGCACAATGCACAGAAGAATCCGTATAGATTACAAGGTGGTATGTATGCCGGATTACATCAATGAAGTGGTTTACATTGGTCAGTAAGCACACACAGAGAGGGGTTATGCTATTGAGGAACGACTACGACTACGCTTACACATCGCCACAAAAAAAAATGAACGATCAACGGCCAATATTAAGATCATCAGTGGATCATGATTGAAGCAACTATTAGATTACAATTTTGGCACAGTTCACAGCTTTCAGATTGTACAACCATTAACCATGAAATTTAGTGTGTCGGTTTCGATTGCCATCTTTTGGCGGCCCGTGCGGATGGACAATAGGAGAAAGACAGGAAGGCTGAAGGAGTAGAGTCGAAGAGAAATAGGGCAACTTCAGTGGACTAAGGTTGCAAAGAAACTCAGAAGATGCACGAACGTCATTGCGTATGACACTCAGCCATATCACTCAGTGTCTCTAACCATCGGTTACGATAGTCTCAATCGTCCCAGCCAGGGAGCCTCACGGAACCTATGTGATCCAAACTCCTGGTTGGGGTTTTCATACCTTCATTCCAGGTCTTGGCTTGACCACCCTTGGCATTTTTCCATCTATTGCCTGCCTGAGCAAACATCGACCAGGAAATCTACAAAACAGCAGACAACTTTGCAACAAATTCGGAACAAAAAACTCAATCCATTCAGTAGAGGTGACAAAAATTCATTTTTGTGTAGGCTGTAACTAAATTTCCATCCGGCATTTAGACTACAATACACACACACAGAGAAAGCTGAACATCCAAGCATAAACAACAACAGTTACGTCGTGCAGAACGCACCGTTTTGATCAGTCTGGATATTGTCGTGTCCAGCATAACTTCCAACTCCGCCCGACAACGATTGTCCCAAATCAAATACGGATTGACTGAGTTGGTGGTCAACAATTTGGCCAGCGAGCGTAAATATTTGCCTCGAGGCGAATCGGTCGGGAAATCGTGTATCACTGGGGGATCTCGTTCGGCGGGCGGGCTGGTCATTCGACCGACCGGACTGGGGTCGTAGGTGCCCAGTTCGGCAATCTTTCGAGTGAAATGCGGTGAGGTCAGTCGAGACAGGGCATCGCTGATTTCCGGCCCTTCACGGACTAGCATCGAATCCTCAGTGACTTCGTGTGTGGATTGGAAACCGTTTAGCATTCGACCGATAGCCCACAAACTGAGTAATGCCAAACGGTTCGCGATAACCTGGAAAAAGACGAACACGGAAATCCGGATAAGGGCAGTGGAATTCGAACGGCAGAGTGCCGATAGTAGTGGATTATCCGATGGATTGAAAAAAAGAAAATTTAGAGATGTCAAGGACAGTTGAAACACTGGACCTTGATCATCAAAAGTCTATTGGAATGCGTCATGATGACAAAGTACTGAAGCGAATTAAGGACAAAAATAGGAATGACTTCAGATACTAGTCTAGTGAGCAACGAAAAAATTTTTTACGAAAAGATGCCTTAAAGCAACAACTTAGGTACGAGGCCAGAAACGAAAAGCGTCGAAAAGATACTCCCCAGGGGTGAATATTACTGTAATTGGTTTTATACAGAGAGACGATAGGATAGTCACTAACACGGCATATTCTCCAAAATCCTGAGAATAAGCTCATACAAAACAGTATCTTAGCGAATATCGGATGCAGATGATCAGTCAAACTCTCAATAATCACTTCTTCATTGCGATCACAATAATATTGAACAAATAGAACCGTAGGGGTGGGTGGAGTATTTCATTCGATTATATGGCGGATTTCGGAGTGTGAGTTCCGAATAATTTCAAACGAGTCAATATCGGGAGAACTAGTGCCGATATTATCGAGACAGGATATCCACAACAAGCCGAAAAACATGCATTGTGCTGTATTGTATATGGACCAAATTCATGCTAGTACGGTTCTCCTTTGTTTATTTCGACGATAATGAACGGACTACTTATGAATAGTACAATATACATTATGACAACAATCGTAAGAACTACCATGAATGTGATAATAATATGATAATAAAATGTTTTTGTCATTCAATAAGATTATTGTTATTTCGAATGCTCCGAAAAGGCACCGTTAGAAATTGTACAGAATAGATGCGTGAATCACATACGGTGCTCTCTTATTCTCACTTTCGTGATCATACTTTCAAAGGCTGTGTATGGACACGACAGTTACAGCAGCATCAACGAAGCAATCGGACTAGTTAGCAGTCAGGTGTACCTCACTAAGGTTAATGAACGATAGACAGTTTATTGTAAGCGCATTATGAGGTCGTAAACATCCTGAATATACCTCGACAATAATAACCACAAGCTCCACCTTTAACTTAGCGAAAGATACGCCACGTGATGAGCTAATCGCAGGAACGTCAACGTCGTAAATTAAAACAAAATTGGCGTAGTACTAGGTTTCCATCATGATTTTGGACGTATCCGAAGCATAAGGCACAAAATTTTTCCACTTCGTAAAGGAGTTTGATAAATTTATTTGAAAAATAGCCAGTAAATGAAATCAAGAGGGGTCTCTACGGGTGACCTGTGCCAACAGACCGACCAACTGTTGGGGAGTGATCATTTTGATAGCATGGCAACGCAAAGAAAAGATGATGAAATCCTAGATGGTCGAAATAGCTACACAGTTTTATACGGTTCCAGATCACGTTCCGCTCCTGCTGTGATAGATGAAATTCATCGTAAATAAAACCACAAAGAACAAAACCGATAGGTTATCTCGAATTGATAGTAAGGGCTAAATTATTAATTTTTCGGGAAACTTGCAACCCCAGTCTATATGAATTCCTTATCTTCTCAACATTTTAATCTTCAAAAGACAGTAATCAAAACCGACGCACAAAAATGCATGGTGAATGGTTGTAAGAACTAAGTACTGAAACCTTCAACAGGCTACTAACAGGTTTATACGTAGTTGAATTAATAATCAAGAATTTGTACACACGAACTCAATGAGTTGAGAAAAAGTAAATGAGGGGATTGATTACTTGATCATTGGTTGCTTCTGTGGTTTCCACTCCACCTTCTTCTAGCGTGAAGTCGTAGGCAAACACGTGTCGCAAGAGTAAATACAAAGCACCGTTCTCGTAGCAAGTTACACAAAGCCAGTAGTCGGTACAAAAGGAGGCAAGACATGAAGCAGAGAGACAACAAAGTTGGGGAAGATTCTGAAAGAGAAAGATAAACACAGCATAGAACACATTTTCAAAACAATGCATGCACAAAAGTTGGACAATTGGACACATGCGCTAGTGCTAGAGTAGAATAATTCATACGCTGAATTTGCGAAAAGTTCAGTAGTCTTGGAGAGATTCGAACCCACACATGGACACCACCTACGCTTACGTGGGCTGCCCGGTGTATGCCACGTGCGTCTGAAAGTTGGATGGGTGATTCGAATGTGAAAAGATCAGTGCTATTGATGT